GCCGGGCGTTCGCAGGGCTGCTCCTCTCCCGAAAACCACCGGACTGCTCTGACGAGTAAAGCGTTTTGAGCTGTCGCCCCTAATTAGAAGCAGCTATTATATAGCTTTGTCTCTAAAAGTACCCCGGCACGTTGGCTAATACGATATTGTATTTTATTTTTTTTTAAACACGAAGAATTGGCAGCAAGGAGACAGGCAGTGTCTGCGCGCCTGTGCCTGCGTTGCGTTAGATCTTTTCTTAAATCTCCACTCCTCCTCCGAAGGTTTTTTGGCTGTGCCGAGAGCAGTAAAGAAGGGGCTTCTCCCGGGGGAGTCTGCCGGAGCGAAGCGCAGCGATTTCTGCTCGCAGGCAGTTGTGGGATGTTTTTTCTCTATCAGATTTCCTACTGTTGCCGCTATAACTGGAGCTGACACTGATCGTGGGAAAGCTTGAGCAAAAAAAATTACAGTACCAAGGAGGGTTTAACGTCGCCGTTTTAAATGCTGCCTGTCCTTCTTTTATTTACTTTTAAAGACCAAAGGCTGTGAAACACAGACGCTTGCACTCAGAAAAAAATTTACAGAAAGCGAAACATTGCAACTTGAAGTCTATTCAGGAGCTCTTAACTTGGACCTACCATTGTACGTGTTTTTTTTTTTAAATTTGAAGTTGAATTAAATTCCTTTATCAGTAGTTTCTAGTACAAGGCTGTTAGTCTCTAGAGGAGCAAAGGTATGTTCAGCACCGAGACAACTAGTTGCCCGAGTGAGCTGGGGAGTCAGAGGCGGACTGTGGCATTGCAGTTAGCGTACGTGGGTGGGGTGTAGGAGTTGGGCCAGGGAAGCTCCTGAAGCCACCTGAGTAAGTCGTGTCTGGCTATGCAAAATGAAGATGTGCATTGCATCGAGTGTACTACTACATCGAGAAGCCCCATTTAAAGATATTTAGGGGGGGTTACTTTAGTGTTTTGTACAGTACTTAATCCTTGTACTTAATTAGGATTTATAGGCATGATGAGAATTCAGATAAAATACACTTGTGAAGTACTGACAGCACTGCTGTAAGAAAACTGAAATATAAAACCGTTGCAATGTTAACAGTAAGGAGTAAGTGAAAGCCACGATTTATATTGGCAGCGCAAGTGTGTCTTTGTAGCTCATGCTTGTATATTCTTCAGATAAGAGGTTGTAGGTCAGTGTTTTGGAAGAGCTGGGGTTTGCATTTTAGGAGAGCACTGAATTTTCTTCTGTAAGCGCTTAAGTATGCATCACTCTAGAAAACAGAGTTTTAGCTTGCTCATCTCTGGTCATTTTGGCAGCCTCTTAATTTTATTTTCTTCAGCTTGTAAATGACAGTCAAGGTTTTGTAGTTTCTTGTATTCAGTTTTGCAAGAAAGTGTTTATCTGCCTTATGTGCTTAAGAAATATATACAAAAAGGTGGATTTTGACCTCAGACTTCCTTTTAATGGCAGGTTCATTCACAGTGTCATGAAACTAGCTGAATTTTATCTA